TGAACATTAAGTTGAGTGAACAACCAACAGTAGCAGAAAGCGAGAAATTGAAAGTTGCTTGCCACAGTGTGCACCTCTGCATGGTACGTTTGCGAACAGTCGCTATTGACCTTTGCCTGGCTTTTCCGACTGTCTTCCTGCCAAATGGTTGCACAATGTCCATAATCTTTTTAGTTAAACGCGTATTGTGTTAGCGATAAAAGAATTTTGTATTAAAAAAATTAGCGCTAAAAGAGTCACAATAAACAAATATGATTTCAATAAACATGTGGATTCTTTTAAAGTTGCAGTAATTTCGAAAAAGATTTAACTTTTTCAATAGCATTACCACTTAATTAAAAAGATCATTTTAATAATGTCGTGAAATTATCAGCTATTTTTTTTTGACAACCGTAAACTAACAAAGATTTCTTTTGCATTGATGCATGACATTTTAGGCAAATTTATTCAGCGAAACATTATATAATCGCGTTTATTTTGTGACGACCGTCGAAGTGAGAAATGTCCCAGTGACATCAAAAATTCTCCCGCCCATATTTGGCGAACTATTCAATATAATGTCGGCATTTCTATGTAAAACGCTACTCAGCACTATCGAGAAATAATCTGACGATATAATAAAATTGTAAATTTGGCTATGCATCAATTTTGAAATTGTCTATGGTCAAATTCCAAGAATTTAATTAATTCTTATAATTGTGAATCGCTAATTTATTTACGGATATGCAGTCTAAATTTATATTGACTTGAATAATTACGTAAGATTATCGATGTTATCACTTTATAATATATTAGTAATGTTATGATAAATATATTGCTAGCATAATAAAAATAACATAGTATTTATATTATAATAAAAAATGCTGGATTTTATATGCAATATTAATGCAAAATAAATAGGCATTATAAATCTTATCATAACATTTAAATGCCTCTCTCTATTGACAATGAATGAGAGTTGACGTCATTATAATATACTCAAGAAGATTACAAATAATTTTTATTTTACATGAAAGAGAACAGGAGAAATAAATGTGCAAAATTAGATCCATTTCATAATTTTATGTTAATTATGATATATTAGTCCTAAAAGATCGAATATAAATCGTTTTACGGTAGCGAACATGACAATTAAATAGAGAAGAACAAATAGACACCGAGAATTCTTTTAATACAAAGCGCTTCTAGGATAAGACGAATCATTAACCGGACAATTCATCATCCTGTCGAGAGACACTAATTTAAAGATTCAGAAAAAGCTCACGAAGGATTGTGGCCCGTGTGATTTGTTTGCGTAACATATCGTGCATACATGCTTCGATAATAATTACGACATTTTTGCTGATCGTTAACGACACACAGTCATTGACATTCAACCCGAATGAATGCTACGCGGCGAGTAGATCAGCGAAAGTTCTACGATTATACTGCAAGTCGGGCAATCAAGTGCTAATCAAATAGCATTAAGTAGTATAATAAATTAATCATAAGTTATATTTTGATATACTATATTTAATAGATATAATGTATAACAAAATATAGAAAAAAGTATCATAATTGATACGCTACAATTTTAATTATTTGAGTAACGTGTTAAAATCAAATTCTTAAAGTTACATTATTAGCAATTAATAATAATTATTACTGTCTTGATAGTATCTTTTTATAATTGTAATTTCAATCATTTATATTTTAGTATATATTTTTCAATATATTAATATCTCAAAATGTATTTAATATTCTGAAAAAGCAAAACACTTATTTATTCTTAATTTTATTATAAATATATTTTTGTGGCGGAAACAAAAAGTATTAATTCTAATTTTTTTGGTAAAGTGAAAGCTTTCCATGTAAGGTTCTCTTATTTATGCAGTTAACGATTGAGAGAATATGCGTTTTCATTATCCTGTGTATTAAATGCTAATGAGCATCGCCAGAATAAATGTACAAGATCTTGCATGGCATACAGAATTGTGCCAATGACGTAAAGATGTAAAGAATCATTATTACATATTTATGCCTCATTTGTATTATAGTTTCTATATGCAAATCTCGTGTGATCGTAATATTATTTTGTCGTCATTATTAATATTATTTTGAATCAGTCAGATCGTTTTATGCCATTATTTTGGAAGTAGGTTTCGGAAATAACCGTGTCATTATAAAAATGATGGAATATAATAATTTGCATTTTAACGAAATGTGTTACGTATTGTAATACTGTAAAAAAATGTATGTACATATTAAGTGACGATATTAATTAATTATACAAATAAGGTAAATTCTAATTATGCGCTTATCTTTAATCTCTACACAATCGATTTAGGTAAGAATCTCGATTACATGTTTTGTTGATGCAAAGCTATTGCATAATAATTTTGCTACTGCTCGATAATTACTTGTTAAATATCCAAATTATATTTAATTAGGAGGGAACATATTACGCGAAGGCGTTAATTAGCTAATAATTCCATTCCTTGTAGAAAGTCACGCTGCATTTGTTAACATAAGAGTGGTATAATTTATTAACAATAATATTGCAGAACATACAAAAAATATTGCAGAACTTTAGACTTTATTTTGATAACAGGTTCTTTTATTAAATTAATTAATTATCTTTTTGAAAATGCATAAAATAATGATTACGGTATTAGCATTATGATGACGGTATTAGTATCATATTTTAATTCAGTGTAGAAAAACATAAGTAAGAGAAGTGAGAGTCATTAAATTAAATCTAAATGTCAATACCGTTAAAAGATTATTGTTGTATATTTCGAATTTGTCTAATTTGCATAAAGCATATTAAACCGCGAATCAGTGAAGATCTTATACCGTAACTCGCTTTATCTGAAGCCGAACAGAGAAGGCGCGGCGTTATATTACGCCATGCGCTTCTAATGGCACATGAGCCAGACAGTTTGGTGCGTAATTTTTAACGAGAAAAATTATGCGATTGACCTTTGCTGGTCGAAAAAAACGTAACTTTATTACATGATGTGGGGAGCATTCCCATTTTAATTCAAGCATTAAGCAAGAATAGACATTTTATGAATTTGATAGGTAGAATTCGTGGAAATATGACGATTACATAAATTGCTAATAAGTAATCTTTTACAACTGTGATATTGTGCCTGTGTCATTGATGCAAGATCGCTTTGAAATTAATTTACGAACTAGCTAGCATCATGAAATATATTTTACAGAAAAGGAGATGGATTTCAAAAGCATTTTCATATGATGGTTTTAACATTTGGCATTTAACAAAGCAAAGAGAGGAGATGATAGACAGAAATCATTTCCATAGAAATAAATGTAAAAAATTTGAGGAATCAATAGTAGAGTGTTCTTTAAAAATTTATTCATTATGTATTTAATAAATTTGATATATAAAGTTAAATCACAAAATATTATTTATGTTTCTCCGTGAATGAAAATTTTGGTAAATTACAAATTTTTCTAAAATTTTGGAAATTTAAATATTTATTAAAAATCCTTAAATCTCTCATATTAAATTCTAAATTAAATTAAAAAATTGCTTGTAAAGATTTAATTAAGAGAAAGAAATTTTTGAAGGATTTTTTTCTGATTCTGTAATTTGTTTTATAAATACAATTTTGACTGTATGTTTTAAAATGTAATAGCATCCTCGATTAATTTATTAAATTTTAATTCACGGAGAAACATAAATAATATTTTGTGATTTAACTTTAACACGTTTCTCTTAAATTTTAATATCTAATTGTCTGATTACTGCGTTCTTCTTTCAATTAGACATAACAACAATTTCGTTAGCCAAATATTTTTTTTAATAAGTATAATTTTATAGTCTTAAAAAGCAATTTTAAAAAAATGTGTTAAATGACAAAAATTTCAAGTTAATAGACAATGATAACCCTTGACATTTGCAATTGCTGGAAAAGCTTAGGTTTTTCTTCATTAATTCCTGAGAAAAGAACGTGCATGTAGATTTATGTGTAAATACCAAACAGTTTACTGAGAAAAACAGTATTTTGCAAAAAAGAAAGTGCAAACTTCAAAACACAAAAATAAGAGGCGTGATAATAGCCGGGCAATCGCCATTGTCGCGAGAGTGTATATGAAATAAATTATTGCCGATGCATTGCCATCGTTGCATCCGCTGCGCTCGATACTTTCTACTGCGAATTCTTTGCATTATCGTGGACGAAATCACGACCCTAAAAGACATAGGTATCTCACAAAAAATTTATGCAATGAAACAGTAAAGCGGCAGTATTTAAAAAATTTTTTTCTTATAAAGATTAAGCAAATTTAATATTAAAAACTAATAGTATTTCTGAGACAAAATTTTGGATTAAATTTCAGCAAGTAAAGATATATAATAGAATTTTGCTTTGAAAATTTGTAATTTAGTTAATATTAAAATTAATATTAAAGAAAGCTTACTTTTAATTTTAATCTTTACTATATATTTTATCAGAAATATGCAAATTTTGTAAAACAATAAATGGTGCGAATAATATATTTGACAAACACAAGTCAAGAATATTATTTTATATTGTTCTATAATTTATCTCTAAACTTATATATTTGTAACATTTTTTTTTGTTATAAAAATTAAAACCGATAATTTCTATCATTTTTCTAATTATAACAACACATACAAAGTTGTCATTGCTTCTATTCCTTTGTTTTTAGCCTTTGCGTTTTCATTTGCAATATCAGTTGCAGAGGTAAGTATATATCTTTTGCATGAGAAAAAAAAAACACGTATCTCAAAAATCTATGAAAATCTCAGAATATCGACATAAAAGATCGATGAAGGTTTGTACAAAACTTAATATCTCAATCTCAGATCACGAATAAATAATTCTCCACAAGTTCACTTTATCTCACTTTTCGACGGAAAAAGGACTCACAAACCTTTCGAGTTCACCGCCCATCCCCGTCATAATTATCCACGTCTATTTTCTTTTATGTCACTTTATGTTCACGATTTGTGATGCACTGCTACTTACCATGATTTTATCGCCGTGCTAATCACCGGAAGAAGATTTTTAAAAAATGGATACTTCAAAACGAATACATGCTTTACTCACGAGAGCGTCGGGAGAGATGACTTCTTCGTCTGCGCGCAACCAAGAGCATTTATAGGGTTTACCTGATCGGCTGGTGGGGAGGAACGTGCGGTACAGGATTATTGCTAGCACGCGAGATGTCCGCGGGAGGATGCTGTAATTCTGTTTCTTTCACGCATATGCACAGGTGGGGTTTGGAAAGGGGCGTTGGAAAGGAAAGGTAGAGGGAGATGAAAAGCCAGAGGAAGACAGAAAAGGACATAAAGAGAAGGAGAGAAAAAAAGAGAGAGAAAGTGAGAATAAACATCTCGTGAGAAGGACAAAGCTATTCGCGATATTCCAATGATCCGACCGGATGCTAAACACTGAATGGTGATAGTCGAGGGATTTTGTCCATGATCCCGGTGCGCAGCTGGCAAAGTGACCCAAAGATAATACGTTTGTGAGACTCAAGGATACGCGCGCAATTAAAATAGAGAAATGTCGATATCGCGTCCGAATCGCCGAGGATGGTGCATACAAGTTTCTCGAGAACGTTAAAGAAATGCGGGTTCGGTAACGGCGTGATAAATAGCGTCTCGTTGAAACGAACTTTACGGCAATGTCGTTATTCTAGTAGAATATGTAAAATGTGGTCGCGAGGGTTTTAAGAATTTATGTATCTTTTATGTCAGATTTATACTGTATATTAAGAGTCAAAGATCAAAGAGTCTAAGATCTGATCAGTGGTCACAACAATATGTAATGTAATATTATATAGTAATTCAATCTTTTTAGTATATAATTTTGTTGAAAAAATTATTATGCTATTAGATTTTTTCTATCGTTTAATTTAAAATTTAAAATTTGACATGACAACATCCACAAGTTCTCGGTATTAAATATATACAATTAAAGGCTAAATAAATCAATTTATATTTGATTACATGATAACGCGTAATCTCTGATATAATATTTCCCAACCGCATTTTTTTCTGTATGTCCTGTATAAAAAAAAACAAGAAACTTGTTCCGCAATTCAATAAAATAAATTTGAGGATAGGTAGCAAAATATCAACGACATTAAGTCTTATTTTATGCATATTCAAGCTTTGCTATTTAAGAAACGAAAGGGTATATATGTATAATTAATAATTACTATTCGATAGTTGACGCAAGGATAAACTTCGCGGTTGTGTTATGTAATAATTTTCCGCATGTTTTTAAGACTAATTCTAAGACTAATTCTATGACAAATATCGTTTATTGTTCTACCATATGTACGGCACCTTTATCAATCCCGTCAGTATAAACGTAATACAAATTTTGGCAAATCTAATTGAATTTAAGGGTCGCCGATTTAAAAAGAGTGGATAATCCCGAAATGTGTATGTGTACTTGTAACTAATATTATTGACATTTAAATATTATGCAAAAATATCAGAGCGCGCGTGATGTAAGACTAATAGATTTATTAATCGACTGCTGAATCGATGAAAGTGGTTAGCAAATTTTGATGGTCTTCTGATAATGATCTTTTCATATTGTCATGAAAATGTAAGGACTATAATTGTTTCCATAGTCATCGATTAAAAATTATTTAATACGTTTAGTTCGCGAACACAATACCACATATATTATATATATATATATATATATATATATTTCTTTTTGTATATAAATTTTTCCGTCATTTCTCTCTGTATTTCTTTAATGAGATAAAGTCAGGTAAATGAGATAAAAATATAATATATGAGATTATTTGACTTGTGTGCATTTTTATTTACCTACGTCTTGATATTTTGTAATGCGTGCAATGTAATAAAATTCTGTTAATGTAAAAAATACTATTATATTTTATTTATATTCGTTAATATAATTGTTCTGATACATTTTTTGCTTTACTCTCACAATCGTACCTAGACGATGCGCGTTTTACGTGACGGTGACTTTTCACTTATGCGAGAAAAAAACCGACGGACTCTTTATACTTTTATTACGCAAGAAAGAGAGACATTAATGTCTCTTCTTCGGTCTTATAAACTTGCCGGGTCCAAGATGCTTAGGCACAATGGTACTCGACGGGTCATCGCAAACACATTTCGCTGGTTTGCATTGCACGTGACTCTGCACCGGCTACTGTAGGGTCCAATAAAAGTTTAGTGTCAGTGACGCAAGTACTTAGCGTAAATAACTGCTGTTTGCTAACTGTTGAGCGAATAATAATCATGTAAAGTCTTCAGTTTCCGCGCATCTCGCGTATCTTTCGAGATAGCTAGCAATCGATTGCGATATTTCCAAAAATTAGAGACTATTGACTTGTTAAATATAATCTATAATATACAATTTTTGTGAAAAAAAATCAACTCTCAAAACGTGTTAAACGTATTAGATAAATTTCTTAGGAAATATACTTGGTGCGCTTCATAAGTGTTTGTGAAATTGACTTCAGATACTTTAAAGTGGACAAAAATGGACAAGAGGAGAGAGGAAAAAGAGAGAGGAGGAGAGAGAAGGAATATCTGATAAAGTTGAATTAAATAATTTAGTAACACTTATTAAATATTTGATTATTCATCAAACATTTGGTGACAGATATTAAATATATAATAATTGTTACTAAATTATTAAATTAATTCAATTATGAACAAAATTCTTACAATAGTTGAATCAATTAAATATTTAGTAACTATACATATTATCAAATATGGTAATAGTTATCAAATATTCAATTGAAATCCAACCTAATGCATTTGGTAATTATTGCTAACCAGTTTTTTCAGTATATGATATACATGGCAATAGTTAAAAGTCAACGATGTAAATTTTCCGGTGTTTCAAATGCACATAATTTTATATCGCATTAAAGATATTGTCCGTACATAAATTATATCTTTTTTTATTATTTCCTGATTTATAAATGGCGATTTAATTAAAAGTCAACGTCAAAGTTTTCAGTATTTCGACGATACATTTCGCACAAAATGTTATATTCTCAATTATGTAGGAATGTAATTATTTTGCCGACAAAGTATATACATATCTCTAAATTTTGTGTTGCACCTTCTTTCTTTTTTGCATCAATATAATTTATAACGTTTGCAACACCGAAATATTCCTCGCGATATTGATAAAAAACAGATAAACTTTCCGTACAGCCAGATTTTTCACCAGGACATTCCTTTAAAAAAAAAATGTGGGATTGAATGCCGTAAAACATTTTTGACTTTTGACATGTTTTTCAAGATTTTTGTTAAATAAAAACGCAATCATATTAAGAATAAAGCAAAATATTAAAATATAAATTTTACCATATCTAAAGTATCAAGCATGTCAGACAAATATATGAGAAATTACAAAGTCTAATAAATTTTTAATGTAAACGATATATAAATATGATCGGGATCAAAAAGGATCGCGCATCTTCCATTCGGCGTTCCTCCGATCGCGAATTAATTTGCTACGCGTGATGACTTCATCACGGATATTGATCGCGTATAAAAAAAAGATTCTATCTCTGGATTTTCCCAAATTAAAAATACGATGCTTATTAATAATAATTAAATTTACTTATCCGAAAGTGTTTTGATATTTGTATTTTGGTAGCAATTCACCGCGCAGAAATGCAATTCTCCCGTTCGCTCTCATCGTATTTAGATGTTTTAGTGTATAATCAAACAAAGGTCAAAATCATGTTTCACGTGACCTTAAATAGCCGCCGCTGCCGGCTATCGTCAGGCCTAACTGAAACGATCTTTCTGATTAATACTTGTATATCGACGTTTTTATATTTTTATTGATCTGACCGCAAACGGTAGATAACTCCCATGGCATTGTAATTACCCATGAATGAAGTTTGCTTCTCAGTGATATTAACCTTTCACTTAGTATTTAATTTTCCGCTGAATGAAGGAGCTCGATATAATCGTAGAAAAGGTCATGATTGTTGTCCGCGCGAGCTTCGTCGCTTTTGCCGGGTGAATTGTCAAAGGGATACTATCAATTTAAAAAATCGATAAAGCGCATTGCAGTCTGTACTATTTATTTATTTGAAACGAAAATATTTAAAAAAGTAAATAAAGATTTTTTTTAACGAAGATTTATTATATTTTTCAAATAATCTTGATTTTTAGGCGACACGGGATTTTCTTGTGTAACCGGAATAAGCCTTCTTACGGTTGCCTGGTACAACGGATGCAAGGAGGATTTACAATGTGTCTCATGTAGCGATAAAGACCGATTCTTCGCAAATGCTTCATTATCATCGATTATCTTAGATGCGTTTCTAAATTACCGACTCCATTAAGGCCGACTATAGCAAAACCATGATTACCCTATCGACCAACACGCGATAAAACTTTCTTGTCTTATTGTTAGTACGAAACATTACGTATGAATTATTCAAATTTTCATGCACCCATAAACGTGTGTTTGTGTAATGCTAGATAATTGTCTCTCATAATTTCATCATTATAATAAAAATATATATTTTTAATAAAATATAAATTTCAGATATATATTTTATCCGCATTCTATTTGAATTCATAGACAATTCCTAAAAAGGATTTTCATCGTTAAAATTAATATAATTAATGTTAATTAATATAATTTGTTAAAAAAGTATCTAATATAAATTTTGATTGGAAAATATTTTATTTGTGAGCGTCCATTTTTAGTCCCAAGATTTATTTTTTATTATGCGTTTGTTTTTCACAGGTCTACATTTTTGTATTAAAATTAACTGCAGTGACCTCGATCTTTGGATTAAAGTAACTAATAATTCTAGTTCTCATCTTGCCCATGAACTATAGATTTTGTCACGTGATTTCGTAGTCAGGAATAAAGATTTTATGAGTTTCTACGAATTTAAATACAGATTTAATTCTTATTAAGACATTCACGATAAATGTTAACGTCTTACATCTTAATAGAATGTAATTTTCGCGTATCTGAAGATGCTTAAATTTTGAAGCAGCCAAATTATATATATATGTAGGGGAAAGTAGGGTAAAACCGGGTACTTTCCGGATTTGTCTTCCTACAAAAAAATCCAAGAGCAAAAAAAATTCTACTTTAGTAGTAGACCGTTAGTAGTCTTTAATGAACCTTGAATTATGAGAAAATGAGGCTAGTTACTGAAAAAAAAATTTGATTACCAAGGATAAAAAGATCTTTTGAAGAAATCAAAATATCCGGTTTTGTCCCCGGTAGAGTAAAATCGAATACCTATTTGAAAACATATAAATATATAAAACATCGTGCAATTACAAAATCTTTATTTATTTTAATCAAAATACAATATAAAAATGTATTCTGTAAAAAAAATCACAAATATAAAGACATCATTATTTTAAGATAAACCGTGCCCACGTGCACACGATATTTCTTTTTCTTGCTCTACATTGCTGCAGGATTTTATTATTTAATTTTTTAATTTTAGGAGTCTTAAAAAGCTTTTTTTCTTATTAATTTTTTTTCTGAGTGGCAGTCTTCATTTCCAACTGCTTCTTGTAGAGAGAAAAAGTTAGAATGGCAGTTTTTCCTCTTTTCATTATATGAGGTGTGTAGGTATCCGGTTTTCCCAACACAAGAAAAATAACAAACGTGGCGGCTGTACATTTCGGCGTACAAAGTGACGATCAAAACTAGTGCGATATACTCTCTAATACTCTAGTATGTACAAAATGCAATGCTGCATTTACCGAAACAGATGCTCTGTGTAGAAAATCCACGATGACTCGATTGTTGCCTCGATATCGATCTTTTTTGGCTCGAAAACTCTGGACTTTTCCCAAAAAAGAAATATCGTGTGCACGTGGGCACGGTTTATCTTAAAATAATGATGACGTCAATCTACAACTAATAACACGAGTTGGCTAAAAATAGTAGCATTTATCACGAAGAAACAGAAGTTATCCGGTTTGACCCGCCTACCCGGTTTTACCCTACTTTCCCTTATATATATATATATATATATATATATATATATATATATATAATGGCTATGTTCGACTT